TGCTCATGGTGCATCTCTGTAATGCAGTCGCATACAAACTGTGTGTATGCATTGTTAGTTGTTCTTTGTCCCGTGTAGTCAGAATAACTTCGCCGCACTTGTTATAACTACGTAGAAATTTGTGGTCTACGAGATTTATTTATTGTCGTTGCTCTACTGTCCCTCGCTCAACATGAAGTAATGTTTTTTCTTGGGGTATTTCTAGAAAAACTTCTTTCATTTTTGTTGACGGTTATTTTATTTGTTATTTATGCATAGATACATGCTTTTGGAGCTTTACCACCCTCATCTAAAAACAAATATTTTTTTCTTTTAAATAATTTTTTTTTTCTAAAAATAATAATAAATAATAAAAATATATTTAATAGAATAGCGTTTTTTTTTGGATGATTTAATTGACGGTATAGTACAAGTTAAATATAATTACTGAAAATTTTCTGCGGTTAGTTGTACATAGATACATTTTGGCTTTACCATTCTCACTTAAAATCTAAACTTTTCCTTCGGGAAAACTTATTCAATTTTATTTAGAATCAGTAATGTAAGAAAATTAATAATACAAATTTATATTCAATAATAATACTTAGGAAAACTATAAGTTTGGTAGATGCGTCAATAGAACCTACCACGACCATAGACCTGAGAGCTGAGAGCACTACAAATCAATGATTCCCTGACTATTTATTATTCTAATTACCATTTTATTAGCATTATTTACTTTTTTATAAACTTTTATGCGTTTTTGTTTCCAAATTTTTGCTTTCTGGTCTTGTGCTTCGGCTTCAAGTGCGGTTCGGTTTGCAGAATTGGTCTGGTAAAAACCTACTTAATTCTAGTTAATAAAAGTTTGTTATAAAGCTATTATTATCATATATAATCTATATATATGTATAAAAGAGGATCGCTTAAGTTAGAACACTTATTACTCACGAACGGCTGAACCGATTTAGATGAAAATTGGCAGGGAGGTAGTTTAGAGCCAGGAGAAACATATGTGATACTTTTTGTCCCGTTTCTCATTCAATTCAAAATTAATTATTTATAAACTATCCATTTAGTTTATGACATTTACTTTCAATTGTCAACTGTCATTCGGTGTTTTTGTTTTGATACAAACATATTAATATGCATTTTTTAATCCCCACTTTTGGAAAATTATTACGTGAATAATATAATTTATTTAATAACCACGGAAAATTATTACGAAGTGGCAAGTAAATTAATTCTTAATAATAGCAAGCGATGCCACATGGACTTTTATAATGAATTATAATATAATCTTAGTTTATTTTTCAGTTTTTCTTTTTTTACATATTGAATAACCAACTAAGTTATGAGATCATTACAGAATACAATAATAATTAGTTAATGGAATGGAATGAAAATTACAAATTTATATTCTTGGGCCAATATTCTTTCATAGTCTAAAAAGTTTCCGAGATGCCAAATTGCTGAAACATTCCGCACCAAAAATTAATTTTTGATTTTTAGAAAAATAATGTTTTCATTATTTTGAAATATTTTGAAAATTTTGAACTTTTTTTCAAAGCAATCGTACTGCCTTTGTGGCATAGAGACTAAATATCGAAGCGCGTAGGCGCCGCGTCCTCGTCTAACGAACAAACCATGTTACGAAACCCATAAAAATGTAAACAAAATTTATACGTACTATTATAATCTCCATAAAATATTTGATAATTTAATGTGTCTATGTCTAATGATCATTTTTGACCGCCAAATGGCATTTTTTTTACTTTTTTTACTAGATCTCTGAAACCGCTAGACCTGCCTTCCCAATAATTTAATCATTTATTTAGAATTAGGGAATACAATACCGATGAAAAATTTCAATACCGGTATTTCGGTAATTTTTCATTATAAAACCGGAATACCGGTAAATTACCGGTATTTTTATTATCTTAAACAAACGTAAACAAAATTGAAAGTTACTAGTACAAATATAAAAAATGTATATACAACGACAACTATATTCAACTAAACAATAAAATGAAACTATAAGTTTATTTTTTTTAATTATGATTTAACAAAATTATATGCAATTTAATTAATTCATTATCACTATCGAGTATATTGAGTACTTTTCACCAAAAACAAACTTATGAGTAAGAAAGACCAAAAACTCATAAAAGATCATATTACATTATTATAATAAACTGTATTGTCTGTATCCGATGTGTTAAATTAGCATAATCTCCAATATTTTAAAAACATAATTTTTCTACAAATATATAATTTAGGATCGGATACTTTGTCGAGATAAATAATAAGTTACTATAATTGTTGAGTATTGTTATTTAAAACAATGTGATGCTTCTATAGTATTTTCAAACTTCGAAACGTTGTGAAAAAATAATATTTTATAATTATAATAAGAAGCAAAAATATTTAGTAATTATCATAATTATTATGTATAAAGTTAGAAAAAAATAAAGATTAAATGTTTTGGCGCAAATATCACTTAAATAATCGTTACAGTTTTACAAAAAATGAATTCTATTTATTGTAACACGATATGAAGCCCTTAGTAAAGCAATAAATATTCAGTTTAATGACGAGTAGAGATAATATTTGACATTTGTTTATCTTATAAAATCACTTGAAGAATAGCTGTTTATGCGATTAAGGAATTTAAAGATAAATTTGTTCCGAGAAATTTAAACTTTAGCGTATTATGTATCAAATAGCGCTTATGTAAAATTACCGAAAATACCGGTATTTTTGGGATAAATACCGGTAAAAATACCGCTAAAAAATCTGGCGGTTTACCGGTAATTCGGTATACCGGTATACCGGTATTGCATTCCCTAATCAGAATTATTGAAATCGGACGCTCCGTTCTCTTAAAAATTGAATTACCGTTTTTCGCACTTTTAGCCCAGTGTCTTCAAAACTGCTAGACATGCCTTTGCCAAAAACTAATCAGCCCGTCTCCTTATCAATAGGAATCGAATGTTTTTGAATAATTACAATCGGTTGAACCGTGTTCCCGAAATCGTCGACAAAAATTTGTATCCGCACACACACACGCACCTACATCTATTTTTTCTAATGTATGCCAAAATGTTCAGAAACCTTCTGAAACGTATATATATATAAAAAATATTTTCGATTTTTTGCGATTACGATAACTTACCCTACGGGAAGATAAAAAAAAATAACGGAGCTTTTTATTTTCAATTACAAACTAAAATAGTAGTCTAGAAATATATAAGCATATATACATAATTCATATGTGTGTAAGTATGTAATACAACGATATTGGCCTATTTTTACTTAATGGACCGTTAAAGAAATGCAATAAAATAAATATTTGAAACTCTAAATATGTCTATATGACGACCTATGAATTTTTGCGAAGTCGAGGGACATTATTTTTATGATTTCATGGCCACAACGTGATTTTCTGGGCGTAACGTAATAATGTGTTCGCTTTAACGCGCCTCTTTCGGGTCGAACATAGGGATGGAAAATTATATGCCATTTCGATACTTTGGGATCGATTGCGGGTTTCATCATTTTCTAGACTCACAAGGAGAATCATAAGTCTACTCGTCTTGGATTTTGATGAAATTTCGCTTGCTGATAGATTTGATAGTTAAGACAAATTCCTTAAAATATTATAGGCTTGATAATAAAAATTAAAGTTTCAAGTTTGGCAGATTTTGTTTTTGTGATATACATAGCGTTCTTATTCATAAAGTCTAGTATAAATAATTTTTGTTTTAATTGTCGTGTTCTCGTATGTAAACTCTTTTATTTATATGTGATCTTTTACATATTTCGCAAATTTGTCAAGATCGATTTTCCAAAAACCTTGCTCATCCCCAGTCGGAAGCATCGCTGCGGTTTATCACCGTCATCTAATTAATGCCTCTCACGAAAAGCAATTGCTGCAGATATGGGTCCATTCTAGATGTCAGCTTGGATATTCTGTATATCTGTATTAAATTAATTTCCGCTCTACGATAATCGTCTTTTGAATAATTCTCTTCATTTTCAAGATTCCAAATTCATATTTCTCGTCATTTTTGTTAGAAAAGCAGATTATGTTTGTTATTACATTAACACAAATGTTTTGGTGTTGTTGCGTATGCTAGGGCTGTTTATATAGAGTACTTAAGAACTGGAAGGTATTTTAACTGTTTTATAATATTCCCGGCTTATCAGCTGTTTTTCATACCCATTTTTTTCAAAACTACTATAAGTGCAAAATTAGTTAATCTTGAAAAGTTCAATTTTAGAATGTACGTCTATATCGAACAAAAGGGTCTCTGTATTTATAATTCGTTTTAAAAATTTAATTGTTAGGTATGAGGGATGGACAAAATTGATTCATTTGACTATCTATAAAAATAAAATATACTTTCATCAGAGTCGAAACACAAAAAAATTCTCGATTGAATTTTTTTTATTATCTCTTTTATTTACAACTGTCCAGTAAAGGACATTCAATAAATTTGATGAATTTACAATAGTCGGCCGAAAAGGGATATTGTATACTACAAGGGCATGTTGAAAAAAACAACTCAGTAGTTTAAAATTTAAAAACAATTACGAAATTAGTTCTAAAATTGCTAGTTTGATTATCTACGAATATATTTTTAAACTTCTACATGAATTATTATATATAACTCTTAAGAGTGCAATACGCTCACATTGATATAATATATCAAAGATATATTTGATATAACTCTTGATCTGTTGATCCTGATTAGAAATTTCTACTATTAATGAGTTTTAACAAGTACATGCGGATTATTATTATACAACTCCCAATGAATGAGTTTGACTCTAAATTTGCTGCATTTCAATTTTATTATAAAATTGTACAGATTTTCCAATTTGATATTAACTATTACAACACAAATTTTAGTTATTATTATAATATGTTTATAATAATAACTAAATAATTTAAATTTAAACTATAATTATTCTGTACCAATTTAAACAAAATCTATAATTAAAATTTATTATTTCAGATTCCGGGAGAGTCTTCTGGAAATAAATGCAATCTACGAGTCCACAACTTCGTCGATCTTTAAGTTTCATTTCTGACGCATTATAATCGAGATGGCGCAACTACTCCGTGCTCTTGTCTGGTGTGCCATGGTGCTCCTGTCATTCGCATTCGGTGAAGACGACTGGGCACAGTGTTCAATTTGTCGTTGCAAATGGAGATCTGGCAAAAAATTTGCAGACTGCTCTAACTCAAGTCTTACAGCTATACCATCATTGAGTCCTGAAATTCAAGTACTCGAATTGTCCGGTAACCCAATCGCAGAACTTTCAAGAGAAGTATTTGAGAATGCAAGAATAAATAATTTACATCACCTTCTTATGCGCGATTGCACTCTTCAAGAACTGCATCAAGATGCTCTAAAAGGTCTCTCCATTCTTACGGAGCTGTATTTGGAACATAATAAAATACGTGTCCTTCATTCCAGCACGTTTGTTACGAACGTTAAAATTCGTATAATATTTCTCAATTATAATCTTATTGAACGAATAGAAGACGACACATTTAAAGACTTGAAATTTCTTCAGCGTGTTGAAATCCGCGACAATCGTTTGAAGAAAATAGGATCAAATGCATTTGTCAATACCCCAGTTCTGAAAACCGTTGCTTTAGATGGTAATCAATTGACCCACATCAGGATAGAAACGCTAGATAAACTAGATAAACTAGCTAGTTTAGATCTAGATAGGAATCCTTGGACTTGTGATTGCCGCATGCGATCTTTCAGAGAATGGTTTATTGACCGCAATCTGTATACCAGGCCAACTACATGCGCAGAACCACCTCGTCTTCGTGGTCGTCTCTGGCCATCTTTGGACCCGAATCAATTTGCATGCATCGTGAAAATTTTAGAGCCACGACAAGGTACTTCGGCAGATGTAGCTGTTGGCGGATCTGTAACACTGCCATGTCGCGCAAGTGGGGAGCCATTGCCAGAAATAAAATGGATCAGAGATGGACGGGTGGTACTACCTAACCATCAGTATGGCGAGCGTTATAAACTTAGTGAAGGTATAGCAGATGCAACATCGAGATGGCTCAATCTAACCATCACTGAAGCACGCGCTCAGGATCGCGGCGATTTTAGATGCAGCGCTGCAAACGCGGCAGGAATGGCGGAAGTCGACATGCAGTTACTGGTCGCAGGTGGTGGACGCGGCGGATTTGGTTCCTCTGGATCTTCTGGAAATTCTGTCGATAGCGTCCTACTCATTGCTACTTGCGTCGCAATTGCCGTGCTTGCATTATTGGCACTTGGACTGCTGCTGGGCTGTTTTTTTTACAGAAGGAGGAACACGCGGGACTCTAAATGCGAACCTTTAAATATGAATGGCGACTCTGTAATGCTTGAAGGCTCTGTAATTCCTGAAATGGAAAAGAGTTTATTAAACACATCCACCGTATTCGTCAAGACACCGCGCCGAGATAATATAAACGATACGAAAACTACAGAAGTAACCGAAATGAGCCGAACTTTGCTTGATGGGGATTCAGTCTTTGGTATGTATTTTATGAATCACTTTGATTAGAATAATAATAAAGTTTATATTTTATGGCTATTGAAATATTGAATAGATCTTTAATTAGCACTTTATTAATATTATATATGTAAGTTTCGTTCATATAGTTTTTTTGTTATTATTCATTTTTAGAGCCTTACATAGATATAAATATGCGAGTTGTTAAATCAAAATCCAGAAACTTGATTTAAAATTTAATGTTAATATGTTCCGGCATAATAAATATTTGTTAAAAATTCTTAAAATGTTAAAGATCAAAACTCACAACATTTCAATTATATCTGATGCTAAGTATTGATTATCTTTTTAAATTGAATTCTTGGACCTGGCATTGTAGTATCTCAAAAATATAATTTTTCACTGTAATATATCCGCATTACTCACATTTTATTATTTGTAGCTGGAAGTGCTGATGAAGAGAGCCGTTCCTTGGACTTCACCGAGCCGACGCGAACTCAGCGATCTCGAGATTGTCTTGATCCTGAATATGTTCGAGCCCATGACGATCGCACTCATCGACCTGATCTACTGCCCTCATTCCCTGCACGTGCACCGCAATTATCGCCAGCTGGAAGCAGCACAGCCTCGGTTGGGCCTCAGTCTCCATCTGGATCTGCTTACCAGTATCGATTCCGCACACTGCCGCATTCGCATTCGCACTCGCGTTCTCAGTCTCCATTCACTGGCACCGTGATCAACGTCCCACCAAGGCATGGATATGTGACGATACCGAGACGTCCGTCCGGTCAAAAGTGGTCTGTCAGTTCGGCGCCGCCTCAGACTACACTCACGAAGGACGACTGCGAGCCGGTGTACGACAACTTAGGATTACGAACTACAGCCGACGGCAGCTCCGTGCTGTCTTTGAATAAGCTTGCGGCAAGTTCTCCGGCACCTCATGCTGCCGGAACGATGAGAAGTCGCCCACTGCCGCTGCCGCCACATTATACGCCTCTGGGCGATGAGAATAGAACGCAGCCTGAAGGCGCATCCCTGGGACGCACGGACGAGATGTCTGTAACTGTACTGCCGGGGAGAGAAACGCCAGCCCTGAGGCCATCCGGTAAGGTCGGGCCCAAAGTTCCGCCGAAGCCTAGCAAGATGATCCTGAGAGCGGAATCGACGCCACTCTACGAAGACGAATGCGAAGATGGAACGGAGGTCTAACAAGAAAACATTGAGTATTTTTATAGTGTTGGGTGCCATAGAATGTACATTGAGGACCAAAATAGATTAGAAAATAAAACGATGTACCTTTTTACGAATTCGACAGTGTGCTAAGAGAGGTGACTAAAACTGGATTAGGTTTTAATTAAAATTTAAGTAAATTGTACTATATGTAGGTTAATTGGAATATGGAATACGAAGTGTACTATGTTTGCATATGTGTTAATATGCGTAAGAATATATATGTATAGTGCATAAATTTAGGATATAATTGTCCAATTATGAAACTGACCACGCAAAAGACTTGCAAGGACTTGTAATAATAATGATGAATAGTGCCTTTTTAAGTTATATTTTATGTGTCTTCTTGTTCGCGTGATTACATGGGGTTGAGTGAAACGATGTAGGAACATTTGGCAGAATTGATATGTGAAAGAAACTATTTGGTGCTTGAAAAACTAATCATGCTTCCTGCTTTTACTTTCTCCCCCGCATGCGAATTATCTTATATGTGGTGTAAATAAATTAAGATAATATGGAGTTGTAAATATATATATAAACCTACCTATATATATGAAATCTATTAATGAATCATAACTGTGTACTTTAATAAAAATTACACACAGTCTATAATATTTGCCAAAAAATGCTTTTGACGATTGAAACTGTATTTTCTTACAACATTCGTGATTCAAATCTACTAATTAGGAAATGTCAATGTAGTAGGAAACTAATTGTAAAAAAGAACATGTGATTGGATTTAATTTATTGCAGCTACGAAATGTGCACAATTCTTCTGGACAAGTTTCCTTACCGATATGCTCAAATAACATATTGCTACCATTAATGATTCATGCATATAGATAGACCATATAGTTCTTTATAAATATATAATATGTAGTTATTAGTTTTGGACATTCTTTCTGTATCATAGACAATTCCAATTAATATTATGAAAATATTAATGTGTTTAGAAATAAGTACATTTCCGACATTTTGACTGCTCATTTGTTGCTGCTTTTAAATTAAGACTCGAAATAAATTTGTTCTATGAAAAACATAATCTAATTATATGTTTGTTTTTTAAATGTTTCATTACAAATATATTATATATAACTTTTAGATGATTGGTAACATTATAATAATTTTATATTTATGCAATAATGTACAAATTGATTAATAAAAATATATGATCATTACAATTGTATATTATCTTCTACATTATTTAAAAACATCAGTTTATTAATATTACCTTGGAAATATATTAAATATAACATAAAAAAAAGAATTCAATACATTTTATAAAAGAATAAAGAAATTAAATAAAATAATTTGGAATGTTCGAATAGTTACAATCTTTCTCAGCTTGTAACAAAAATTATTATTAAAAATCATTTAAATTTATATACAAATTTATCACCATATGTTTTTTATTTTAGATAGTCGTACCAAAGATTAGAAATTTGAAATTCCATAACCTGATCTGTTTTACTACAATAAAATTTGTACAATTAATTGTATGATTAAATTATAATGTACATACTCACAAATTATTTATGGAATAATTAATTTATTATTTATTATTTTTTAAATAATATTAAATTTAATTAAATACTTTTAAATGAATTATTATATCTTATATGATGCAAAATAAACTAATAGGCATTTTGTGGCTTACATATTGAGACCACAATAAGTAATCGAGCATCCGTTGACTACGTATATAATAGTCAGCATATATATCAGATTCTTCTGTAAAACTCTCTGAACCAAAAGACTTAATAATAATAATTAAAAGCTCATATCAGACAAAAGAGGATTGTTTTAAAATATATTGTGATAGTTCTTTTAACTAAATTCATATCATGGGTCTCACATTAGAAGAGTAGATATACCAAATCTACAAATTCTCTCAAATTTTATTTAAACCCTAATTTGCTTTAATTTGCCTAAACTACTTGTGTTGTTAAGGAAGAATTAAAAGTTACATAGTTTTCAAAATATCAAAAATGTATTTATTATGATCAACTCTTACCAGTTGATCATCAGTCAAGAAAGTTTATAATTTAGTTTTAAATCTCGACAAATAAGAACACTTTTAAAAAATTATATCAAGTCAAATATTAAGTTACATATATTTGGATTGATATGTTTGGTACAAAACTTTTAATGGATTATTTTTATTGTAGCAATTGTTTGCTGGATTATATTATTCAGAAAAAATATATTGTAATGCATCATATAAAATTATATATGTATATATATATATATATATATATATATATATATATATATATATTCAAATTTATGTTTACATCAATTATTATATACCAGTCTAGTAAGAAAAATGAGGGTATTAACAAGTAGGTTTGAGTATGAATACATACAACACTATTTTAATTTAAAAAAGCTATAAGAACAATCTTCAGTAATTCTTTATAACTTAAGTTTATCAGAAAGCAACTAAGTGGTTGTCCATTGATGGATACCACAAAATAAGCGGTATTCACTTTTTATGGTGATGAGAATATCAACTTCAGTCTTCTAATTATACACACGATTTCCATCAAATTTAAATTAAAAAAAAATAAGATTAACTTGATTTGGAATTGGCATAACTGAACCGAAGCAAACAAACGTATTAATCATTAATAATCATTAATTTATAATTAATAATTAATAATCAATAATTTTCTTTACTAATTATTATTTATTATTTAATTATATAAATGATTTGTTCTATATATTGACAAAAAGCCTTGAGGTTGCTTTGCAGTCAGGCTTTTTTCTCAGGTTGTCAGATAGAAAACCTATCCTTGCACAAATGTCAAAAAAACGATCTTAGATTACAGGGTCTTTCTGACTCAGGATCATAACATACGAGTGACGTTGCAATCGGCTCATTAATCACGAGTGTAAATTTTGTTCTCACGTTTTGTACAACTTGATATAAAGCAATAGTTATATCCATTCTTTGCTAGTAAATATAGATGAAAATATATCTCACGTAAAAATTGATCAAGTGAAAGTTAAGATACAGGTCGAAAGTTAAAATAGAAAAAGGTCATCATCATTATAAAAATTCTAGTGAATAAAATGTTTGTTCTAGTAAATAAATAGACTAAACTATTGGGTTGCCTTCTAAAAAATCCACGGTGTTAAGTCTATGAGCTGTTCTAACTTTTTAAATAATGTAGCCTTTGAATAATGATTAGGAGGCGTCCATTAATCACGTGAGGTTTTTAGGGGGAGGGGGGGTTTGACAAAAAATCACGAAATATTACGGTGGGAAGGGAGGGGTATAGTAAGATATCACATGTATTTATTTTTAACTGATTTTTTTTTAAATCAAATAATTTCAAAAAAAATACTTACACTCAAAATACTTAAAAATTTTACGATTTTTACTCGTAACTAAAAATACATGTGATGTTTATGGGGGAGGGGGATAATTTTGAATATCACCAAGGGGGAGGGGGGGTTCAAAAATCCTTAAAAACTCGCTCACGTGATTAATGGACGCCTCCTTACCGAAATGCTTGTCCCACACTTGTGTGATGAATTTATTATTACAATTTTCGTGATACTGAAGAATTTTTTATTGATGAGGCAATACTTGATATCAACCAAAAATCAATGTAACCATTACCTGTTCACGCTGTTTAAGGCGGGTATCGAACCTGGATCCTCTGATACGAAAAGCATACTTCTTACCAACTGAGCCACGAAGGAAGACACCTAGTTCGCATGACCAACAAAATATATTCTGGCAAAAAATATGGCGTTATATAATGGTTCCTTATTTGGAGTTTATCATTTGATAAGCATTTGATGTGAATTGACAGTAAATTTAATTTAGTAGTATTGTCGTAGTTGTTGAAGTGAAAACAAGCCATTCCTATGAGATGTCGATATCTCTTAATATTTTATGTATTAACTGTACACTAGTGTATTAAAATTCTTATATGCGGAGCTATATTAAATTTGGATATTAGTAGTGAATCCATCATCGTCGACCAAGGATACTTTTTATTCGAAATAATTTAGCAATTTTTAATTTTTCCACCAAGTTACTGTGTTGTTAAAATATGTGTTATGAAAAGAAAGTTCAACAGATATACAAAAAAGAGTGGTCAAAATTAAATATGAATAAAATCTTTATTTTATATAATTATATGATATAAAATAAAAACAATTATATTAAACATGATAGTAATGATAAAAACAATATGTGTAAACCACAGTCATAAGTGATATGTTCTGAAATCGCTTATTTTGATTGAAGTGATTTATATAACAATGTGTTTAATTATATTTGTGTATCAACAGTAAAAATTAAAGCAGCCCCGGACTGTTAAAGTAAGTACTAGAATATATTTTATTTTTTGCAGTAAAAAATCAACCAGATCAAACTGTAGCCATTTTGGCTTTTACAATCTTTCTTCTGGATATTCGATTTTGAGTATTTATGCACAATTTATACTCTGTTAGAACACGTTTTCATTATCTTTTTTTAAATTTATTTTTATTTATTTCTTATTTTACAATAGTGAACAGTTTCTTACAATTAGTGTTATATGATCTGTTGTTATGTAATTCCTATAATCCAGCAGTAATAAAAGGCAATGTGCTATTTATGTTCAAATTATAATTAGATATTTATAATGGAAGGCTATTTTTATTTGAAATCATACAGCTATATTTTCGAATCCAGTTCGAATTCAACCTTCGTACAGGTCACTTCGGGCACGCAAATAAAAATATTTAATTCTTATCAGTGTTATCTAACAGTGCGTGAGTCATAACACACCAGTGTATTGTTCGTCGACCGGATTAACTATGGCGAGTCCCCAGCCGGGGGACTCAGGTATATCGCTCGCTATACCGCTTGTCGAAACCATTGAAATTTTAAATGACACTTCTACAACTAATTCTGAATTTGTCGCAAAACAAGTGAACTGTGTTAATAATGTACAACCGGAGTGTAATCAAGAATCCACAATTAATAATAAAACTAACGTAATGGAAACTGACAGTAATGTACCGCTGCCAATTCCCTCTACTTCCAAGGAAGGTTGGACTACGGTTAACAACAGAAAACACAAAAGAAATAATTCCGACTGCAGCTCTGAAGGTAATTCTGTGTCAAAAAAGCTAGAAAGTAACTACTGGCTGCATTCAACATCGAACAATATCTACAATGTTTTAAATAACATACAGCCAGAACAAACAGTGAATACCGCTGCTCCTATTCCAAAACCCCCACCGATCTTTGTTCATGGTGTCGAAAATATCAATCCCCTCACAGAATTATTAAGTGTAAATGCGCCAGGAAAATATAATATACAATTAATCAATAATACGCAGGTCAAAGTCACCCTCTCAGACGCTGAAACTTATAATAAAATTCTGAAATTACTAAAAGAAAAAAATACCGAAATGTATTCATTTCAGTGCAAATCGGCACGTTCGTTTAAGGTCGTCGTTCGGAACTTACACTCCAGCACAGAAATTGAAGATATCGCCACAGAAATTACAACTCATGGTCACAAAGTAATGCGAATCACTAACATGAAACACAGGTTTACTAAGGCTCCTATGCACATGTTTCTTGTCGAATTGGAACAAAATCCCAACAACAAAGAAATTTACAAAATCGAATTTATTTGCCGAACTAAAGTGAACATCGAGCCTAAAAATCCAAGTAAATCAATAGTCCAATGTGTTAATTGCCAAAGATACGGTCATACTAGAACTTACTGTAATCTGAAACCGCGCTGCGTGAAATGTGCCGGCGATCATCTCACAAAAGACTGCAGTTGGACCGATCGTACCAATAAAAACGTAAAGTGTGTCCTATGCAATGAAGGCCATACAGCCAATTACAAAGGATGCAAAGTCTATCAGGAAATGTACTCTCGCAGATATCCTCCCCTGCGTCCTAAACAAACAAATCCTCCTTCCTCCTCTAATCCTATCACTTCAAA